CCCTATAATTACGATTCCTATAAAACTACGAAAAAATATACGTATTTTGGAAATGTTGAGTCGGATTAGTGTAGAATCGATTAATTTTATGGAAGAAAACCTTTCAATCAGCCGTAGTCCGTAAACTTGACACGTGTCGGGCTGTGATTGGAACGACTTGTAAGAAATCGGATTCCTAATAAATTGAAACGTATCTCATACATAAGCACGGGTCTGATGACAGTTTTATATATTAGTCCTCTTATTTTAAATGGCATGAGTTTGTCACAAGTTATTCCTGTCACCTGTTTCCACTTTAACCATTCTGCATTGATCCTCCTAGTAACCTTCCTATCAATGCCATCTTTCTGGAGCAGAGATCCCAGATATCGGAATTCAGTACTTTCTGGCAATGGTATTCCATTTAGTTTTAACGAACCAGTACCAGGGAGACTGTCAAAATTACAGAACATATACTCTGTCTTGGTTTGGCTGATTTTTAGTCCCTCATTTTCCAGCACGTGTTGCCATTTGTTTAGCCGTTTCTGTAATTCTTCCCTGCCCTCATCAATGAGGACTATGTCATCTGCAAACAGCACACACCAGGGTACATCCTCTTGTACAGCAGATGTTATCACATCCATAACTAATAGGAAGAGATATGGGCTGAGTGCTGACCCTTGATGTAAGCCCACTCTTACTTCGAACATGTTCGTCAATCCGGCTGCAGTTCTAACTTGCGTGCTGGCCCTATAGTACATATCTTCAATTGTCACAATGTATTGAAGTGGCACACCTTTCTTCCTAAGACACCACCAAAGGACTTCTCTTGGGACTCTGTCATATGCTTTTTCCAAGTCTATGAACACCATATGCAGGTTTCTCCTCACAGATCGGTACTTCTCCATCAGTACTCCTCCCAGGCATAAATCCAAACTGGCCTTCAGTGACACTAGTTTCCTCTCTAATCCTTCGTTCAATTACCTTTTCAAAAAGTTTCATTGTGTGAGCCAATAGTTTTATCCCCCTATAATTATTACATTCCTGCACATCCCCTTTTTCTTTAAAGATGGGTACTAAATAGCTTCTTCATTCATTTGGTATAGTTCCCTCTAACAGTATTTTGTTAAACAGCTCTGTTAACCAGTCTCTTCCCTCCCCTCCTAGGACTTTCCATACCTCTATTGGTATCTGATCCGGGCCCACTGATTTCCCATTTTTCATTTTATTCAATGCCATCTGTACTTTCCCTTTCTCTATTATGCCTACTAGGCCAATATTTGGCTCTACATTTTCAGTTTTAGTTTGTCTGTCATTTTCCACGTTCATAAGGTCTTTAAAGTATGTTTTCCGCTGGGCCTTAATTTCTTCATTTTTAGTTAGCACTTTGCCATTTGTGTTCTTTATACACTTGATATAGGTCATATCTTTACTCCCTCTGCCTCTCATTTTTCAAGTCTATATATGGCTTTTCTATCTACTTTTCCCATGAGTGACCTATACATTTCGTCCTGGGCTTGAGCCTTAGCTATGGCGACCTCTGTCTTTGCCTTCTTTTTCATCTGCACATAGACCTCTCTTTTCTCTTCCCTTACCTTATTATCTCCTTTCTCATTCTGCCAACTTTTAAAAGCATCTTTCTACTCTCTTGTAGCTTTCTTTACTTCTTCATTCCACCACCATACCTCCTTCTCTATTTTCCTAACTGACTTGTTTCTCCCAGAAGTTCCTTTGCAATCCTTCGTATTTCCCTGGCCACCTGTATTCACCATTCATCTGCCGAGTCATTGCACTTCGCGTTACCCTTAATAACGCTTATTACTTTTTCTTTAAACTCTATTGCCCTTTTCCCTTTTAACAACCACCATTTAATTTTAGGTATCAGTTTATCTTTATACTTAATCCTATTAAGATCAATCCTTAATTCCATTACTAAGAATCTATGCTGACTAGTCAAGTCTTCTCCTGGTATCACTTTACAGTCCTTAATCCCTTTTAGAGTAGTCCGTCTTGTTAATAGGTAGTCTATTTGTGATTTATGATCCCCGCTCTTATAAGTTATTAAATGTTCTTCACATTTATCAAAATAAATGTTGACCACAACTAACTCATAGGCGGTGGCCATTTGCAAAACACACTCTCTTTCAAAATTTCTACCACCAAATCCTTTGCCTTCGTGTACTCTCTCATAACCAGCATTATTTTTTCCCACATGCCCGTTAAAGTCCGCTCCAATAAATATCTCCTCATCTGTCGGTACCTCTGTCATTATCTTAGCCAAATCTTCCCAAAATTGCTATTTAACTCCAGCATCTATACCCACTTGCAGCGCATATGCACTGATTACATTAACTATCCGTTCTCCAATACTCAGTTTCACCAATATTAATCTATCATTTACTCTATTGACTATGACTACATTCTTCTTTAAGTCGTTGTCTATGACTATCCCCACTCCATTCCTCTTTCCATCTTTACCACAGTAGAAAAGTTTATACCCTTCGCCAATCTCTTTAGCTTTGGCCCCTTTCCACTTTGTCTCCTGTAAACACGCTATATTGACTCTTCTTCTTCTCAGGGTATCTGCTAGTTCAGTTCCTCTCCCTGTCATAGTCCCTATATTCCAACTTCCCACTCTTAATGGGACTCGCTTCTTACTTTGTCCCCGTCCCATATGAGACAACGACCCTCGTCCATTTCCCACAGCCACCGGGTGCTGCGGCTGCTCGTCGCCTATGGGGTATGCCCTAGTATTATCACATCTCAAAGTGGCATCAGACATTCCATACAAAAAGATTTGGCTGGGGTTTTTACAGTCGGCCGCCAACCATACACCAACCTTCCCATTTTTCTAACCTGGGCTGAGGAACCAGGCTTAGCAGGGATTTGGCAGTGGCCTAGCACCTGAGCTCCTAGAGACTCACTATAGGCCTTAAGCGGCAGATGGTCGTTCGCTATTTACAGATACCGCTCCACCTCTGGCGGCACCCAGCCCCAGAAGGCCCTCCTCCAGTGTGGCACCGGAGTATTACCCTTGCAGGGCCCCCTTTACGCTTGTTTGTTCGTCGACACTCGACTTAACAGGCTCCACTACGTGAAAGTGAGCGAAGGGTTGAGATGGATAGGCTAAGAGGCCATTCTTGTTGTGGCCTTATATTGCGCTTCACACCCCCTTGGAGCCCACCTAATTTATATATAATTATATATACAGTACCTAATTTATATATAATTTAAAGATAATACTGTACAGACGATAGTAAACTCAACTTGCCCGCCTAAAATCTCCGTAGCATGATGCTGAACGGCGGAAAGTAGTTTGGCTGCTCATCCACTATTGCGATGACATTTTACCGCATTTTACGAGTCTCTTTTAGCGTCCTTATACAAATATGGTCGCAATTTTTTTGCCGCGTTATACAAATCCGCATTATTTGAACCCGCATTATAGGAGGGTCTACTGTATATATACAGCTGTCCCTTGATAATCCGACATGTATGGGACCAAAGGGGTGTCCGGATTACCAAAAGCGATTACATATTTGGCATTGTTTTGCTAGCAGTAGCCTACAATATTCCCTACTCCAACTGTTAGAACAGAACTGCTTACGAAATCTGTGTCATCGTGTAAGAATTGAGTGGTGAGATTCACGTTGCGACATGCTTCTGTGAAAGCAGACACATGGGTACCTTGACAGGACGTGCGTCGGAGTACTGAGCATGTCAGATTACAAAACGTCGAGCTATCAAGGGACAGCTATATATATATATATATATATATATACATACTACTATATTTAATTCTTACTTAATACAAGAAAGCCAAGAAGTAATATGATTTTAATAGTAATGTTTATTTTATGAAATATTTTCATATTTTCATTATGTAAATTTGTTTTTATAATTTTTACAATTAACTTCTAGGTTTCTGTGTACACTAACAATCAAAATGACAGCTCTCTACCTTCGTCAACAAATCAGTTAACTCAGACATCTGAAAACGCAGTGTCGGAATCTCAGCGGAATTCAGAAGAAAGCCAAAACAATCGTGCGCTTGTTCCGTTACCCATTCCTTCAGAACCACAGTCTTCTGGTCTTCTTATTCAAGAGACTAGTCAAGGTAAATATTGTCAAAATATGTACAAGTACAACTTGTTTCACAAAACTTGTCCAGTCTGTAAAAATAGCCAGTCTATTTACTTAGCAAAGGGAATGAATTGTTTGATTAATCTTTGACAAGGTCACTGCATTATCAAAAAAAGAGATCTTGGACTTTTTAAAACTTTCAGAACTCCACTGAGACCAAGATATGTGAAACAATCTGTATTTTTAATTTTAAATTTAAAAACTCATGCCAAGCTTTATGAGTTTTTAAATTTAACTTTTTACTTAAAGATGGAAACTGTGAAAATATTTTTAATTTTGTCACATTTATGTCATCATCAACTCAAAAATTAAATTAGTGACTGAACTTTATTAACCACATCTGATAAATGTTGTCAGATTACAAAATAAAATGATAACAATAATATATTATTAAATTGTTTATATTACATCCTTCTTGTTGAAATTGAGATTTTGGTTGTTTGAAGATCATTATAAATCTAACTTTTCCAGACATTTAAATAATTCTTCCTGATTTTGTCTCCTGGACAATCAGAAGTGTTAAGGTTGCTGACTTAATCTCAAAATTTCTTCTATTTCTTTTGCTGATGTTAAGTTCATTATTTCAGTATTGCAAACATTTTGATCATTTTGTTGACTATTGTATACAGTCGACCCCCCTATAATTACGGTCCCTATAATTACGATTCCTATAAAACTACAAAAAAATATACGTATTTTGGAAATGTTGAGTCGGATTAGTGTAGAATCGATTAATTTTATGGAAGAAAACCTTTCAATCAGCTGTAGTCCGTAAACTTGACACGTGTCGGGCTGTGATTGGAACGACTTGTAAGAAATCGGATTCCTAATAAATTGGAACGTATCTATATCTTATAGGGGGGTCGACTGTATAGTATTTTGTTTTTCTAATAGCAATTGCCTTTTTTTCTACAGTAGTATGAATTATTTTCTTCATTATTATAAGGTTTTATTAATAATTTTATATTTTAGTCGCAGTTTATTTAGTGGCACGCCAGTAACTCCATTTTTATGTGACATGCCTGCCATTCTGCAAAAATACAGTATGTAGATTTATATATACACCTGTTACATATACCACAAACTGCATGGCCTTTCTGCATTTATCTACTTGCATGCTGCAGCCCAAATCACACACAGTGACAGCTAGTACCTACCCAGAGACCACTATCAAAATTGACTTAGAAAATTGATTTTCCAAGGTAATGTGGAATGATTAGCTTAGATATTCAAATTTTCTGATAACATGGAATGTTTGTTACAAATTGACAACAAAGAATACAAGAATATTTTGAAAAAAATGAAAATTTTATGCAGTTATATTTCTTTAATCTTTTTAAAATTTGTATTGTTATGAGAAGTCACCAAAGTAAATTTTTTTTAAAACTTTTAGAGTCTCCTTTTGAGTATTGTGCTTTTCTCACCCAAGGTTTGTACCAAAACAAACTGTAGTGTATTATTTTCTCTTCTTTTTGTTGAACTGGATTTTTCCCACCTGTAATCCAGAGTTTGAACATTACATTAATATAGACTAATATGATTTAAATAAATTCAATATTGTGTTATTGGGCTGCAATTTGAAAAAATTGTAGACTAGTGTTGCAACGAATAGTACATTCGGCCTCAGGCCGAATACTGAATATTCGGCCAGGAGCGTGGCCGAATACTGAATATTCGGCCAGGAGCGTGGCCGAATAGCTGAATATTCAGCCAAACTATTCGGCTTGATTAATGCACATACGAAAATTGGCGCGCAAAGCGCATTATGGCAAGGACCTGCTCTCTATTGGCCCGCTGTCACTACGCTTCACCAATCGCGTTAATTCTTGAAAGTTGTAGCGGACAGACACGAGCGTCATGGCAATATGTGATAAATGATGATATCAAATATAGATAACAATGAAATGACCTACACGTGTAAATAACGGAAAAAGAAGAGAGAAGGACCGCGAAGTGAAAATATGAAAATAAATATGAAATTGAGTTGATAACATAATCGAACAAGTTGAGTCAGCTTATTGGCGCGAAATTCGCGGTCGTCAATGTCAAACAATTGTTGTCATAGACTTTGGAAAGCTAAATGCTTGTAATGAAAGAAACTTAGTGTGCACGAGCGAAAGCCTGGGGCAGTTCGGGCTACCAAGCTGTCTCGAATCTGTAAAATCATAACTGTGACTTATACCGACATCCTGTCTGTCTCTTTTCTCCATTATAACCAGGCTATAAGTCACGTAATTGTAAGATTGGAAATCTACGACGGAAAAGTGACGAATCGAAAGTATCATGAGCGCGTATTATGATGTATGCATAGGCATACGTGGACTAGAGCAATACAGGAAACAGAAAGGGAAGAGCAATGACGAACACTTAAAAAGAGGGATAGGCAGGGTCAGTCCTCAGATGTGTGACGATTCTCAAATGAATAAGTATGTACAGTACGTCTGCTGATCTTTGTAATTATAAATTGTGAATACATGTGACTAATATTATGTTCTTTTTTATTTTGTGCATGTTATAAGTTATAAATAAATATAAACAAACAACACTAACCCGATAACATTAAATCTAAATACCAAAATGATTAATTTACTGTGTTTTTGTTATTTCTTACTCCTGTTTTTAGGTATTCGGTATTCGGCCGAATAGTGATTAAATATTCTGTATTCGGCCGAATAGCGAAAAATAGGCCGAATATCAAATAGTAACCGAATATTCGTTACATCACTATTGTAGACCTATAAATTCTCACTGTCATTTGTCCATCTGTCTTTCCTAAATCTTAAGAGTTAGATAGATGAAAGACAAGACCAGATATGGAAGCCTTGCAGGCGGGAGGTCCTGATTAACTATATATCAATTTCCGATGCAAACCAGAAGTCACATTATTTCAATTCAAAAATTTTCCTCCAAAAGGTGTTAGATGGATGGCAGGCATGACTCTATTGTTAAAGGAAAAGTATGATGTATGGGGATGAGACACTACTAACTTGAGGTGGAGAGCATATATTTTAAATTAAATAAATTAAAAATATGATCAAAAATTGCAGCCTGGCATTGTAACAATGTCATGATAAATAATTGCTCATTTATTTAAAAATTTAAATTTTTGTCAAAAAACATTAAAAGGACATACATAATGATGAGCACACCCCAGGGGACATTTTGCAAAACATAACTTTTTTGACTGAAGAAGAAAAGAAAAATAATTTTTAAGTGAAATGAAAAATATTGATAAAAATTGATAACTTGGGAATGAATGGATGGAAGTAGATGAAATTTGATATGTAGGTAAAAAAAATTAGCAGTTGCAGATGACGATGATACTCATATTTTGTCCAGATAATGTGTATATCTTTAGTTTTTTAATAAAATGTGAAATCAGATAGAAAGAAAGTGTTCTAATTTGCTTTGTTAAGCCATTTGTTCACTCATTTACTTAATGGCTTGCCTATACCAAGCCTTATGATTATTTCAAATAAATATCAGCTATCACTAAGTAATAAATATATTTGTATTTATAAATGTCTACAGCTACAATTTAGCAAAGTCTTGCTAGTATTATGTGTAGCATTACAGAATCATCAAGATCATCTCTTTGTTGTTAGCATACTTTATATTGTTGCACAAAAGCTCTTACATTTTTGTTTGTCTGGCCAATATACAGATCAATACATTAAATCTTACTTACAGAACCTGTAACCGATGAGTATCACTTGTTCATTCAACGACCAAACGTTTTCATAACCCCTTCTGGGTTCTTCATCAGGATAACAGCTGGATCGAATAGCAAATAACGAATTAAAGAAGTTTGAATAAATCCGAACTTCGTAGAGTTTGAATCATTCCATACGCTTAATCCATCACGAGATATGATTGAAATTGTTCTAATTTCAATCATATCTAAGCTATTTTCCCATGGACTTATTTTCTTGTTGAAGATGATACATCAAATGTGTCATCTAGAATCAATGAGTGAAAATGTGACTATTGGTCCCTATGTACTAAACCTCCTAACAAAGTCATGGAAAAAACCCAGGAGGAGCCTTCAAATAAAAAGGAGGGGGTGACAACAAGTTGGAGCAGTCATCATCAACCTTTTCCCTAAGTGTGTGTATTTGCCAATTTCAGCTATCACCACTCGCTGCCTTTGCAAGAAAAAAGGAACTTTCCTTTTTCCATAGTCGCTGAGTCTTCATTGAACCAATCATCGATTCGTCGAGTCTGGAATTACCGCTTCCTAGGACTAACAAATGATTAAGGTATTTATCATCTCACGAACTTACTGTGAGCTCTCTCTCTCTCTCTCTCTCTCTCGATCAGGGTTGTGTTGGGTATATCGATATATATATATCTCTCCCTTTAGCAATGGTGCTAAGTGTCGAACTTTCTTTTAGCCATTGGGCTAAGCTTCTGAATGATAAAACCTTGTAACCAGTATCTCGTGGAATTTGTAAATAGTATCTATCAATAAAACAAAGTTTGTATCAAACTTTGTGCATAACAATAGTTTTCTAATAGGAAAATCCTGCCAATATACAATTTGCTATTAGCCAAACTACTTTACATTAAAATATATATGATTTTTCCAATGTATTAATATATTTTGCTACTAAGAGACTTTCTAATAGACAAGTTCTACTGTTTTTAGATTCTGGACATCTAAGACATAAAATGAAAAGTATTTTTATTTCCTGCATGGCAAAATTTATGTAAAATCAGGTAATTAACCTAATTTTATAGAAATTTGCCTTCTAATCTGCATAACTTACCATCTTTGTCACAGTTTAATGTTAGCTATTTACATTCATCCAGTAGTTCATACTTCATCGTAGTGTTTTTTTTTTTTTTTTATAAATTATGTTATATCTTTGTCTGTTTTTTATTCCACCTGATTTATGTTTACTAATATAGTAAACATTGGACTATTCTTTCTCCTTATAGAATTCTGCATATGTCCTAGCCATATGTTAAAAAAATATTTAATTTTAGCTCTTTTCTTCCTCCCACTTTCTTTGACTTAAATATTCAATGTTTCCTTGGCTCCATAGATTGGTGGGTTATCACATATTTCTAAGATTTGCACAATATTGAATTTCTCCTCATGCTTTTAAGTTGAAAGTTTTCTTTAATAAAACTTCAATGATTAAGTTCTGTTGATAAAATAGAATTTCCATAGAAGAAGTGAATAACAAAATAATGTGATTATAGAATAATGATAAAATGTGAGTATGAAAGCATTAAAATAATTAGGAAGTATGGTATAGAAGGTTCTTGTTAAAATCTTATTTGTATTAAATATTCTAATAAATTAGAGTATTTCTATTTATTATTATTTAATTATGTTTTTTTTCAATGAGTATGATTAAATTTTTAAATAGATGGTATAATTCAAGAGAAGTCTATATCTGCCAATCAGATGTCTGTGATGGCAGTCGGAAAACAACCCATCACGCTGAGAAGTTCGGATCTATCACAGGATTTTCCAACCAAAGACTTTTTACCGGAAAATGAATTATACATGATATACAGAAGAAGCCAAAACGCCCGACAGTTTGCCGTCAACATAGCCAAAGTCTTGTTTACACCCGAAGAAATGAGAGAATCAAATTGTAGGGGTGCTAGAGACAAATTACAGCTAGACATGAAAAGACTGATCTTCATTCGGTCTTCTGTTTTTAGGTATTACAGCGTCGCAACTTACGCCGCATCCGACGTCTGGAAGCTCTGCTGTCAAAGTATAGATGCTCACTGTCGCCACGAAAGAAGGCTTTTTAAAAGATCTTCTATGATCATTTAATAAGGAAAATCAGTTCTTAGCCATACAAAGTGCCTTATATATCAGTTGTAGGAAAGATTATATAATCTAAAAACAAACAATACCCACATATAGTAAAATCCTGATTTGATATGTCTAAGGATGACAAACGTAATATCATAAATTTAGAAAAGTAAGTAAATTAACAGGTAAGAGATTGCAAGTACACAAGTTATGTCGAGTACGAACCAAAATCAAGATTTCACTATAATTTGATTTAACCCAAAAAGACAAAATATGTCCATCAATGAGGATTGCCATATTTGGGCATATTTTAATTGGATAAATAACAAAGATTTTCATCAGTAAAAAATATCTGTTTAATACAAAGTACATTTACATTGCATAGCAATATTTAATTTTCTGGGAATGTATTCCCATAGATAATTATTCTTTTACAAAGCTCTAAAAGGGACCATTAAAATTGATCTTTTAGTTGAATAAAGCTCAATTTAATGAGTATATATTTTGGAAATAAAATTTTTAGGTTTGAAACTAAATCTGAAATGAATGAATTGTTTATTTCAGAATCCAATAATGATTTTTAATTAATCAAATCCATTTTGATTAAAAAGGGATTTAAATACATTTTGGATTTCTGTAGCTATTTATTTTTCATATGTAAATATGTAAAGTATAAATTTTAAATTGGATTAATGAACTAATGCAATTAATTCAAAACTTATTACAGTTTTTTTATTTATATTTTAACATTAGGTGCATATTTTTCAATAGAAACACTCAAATTGTGTTTAGAAAACTTTTAATTTATGCTTAGTAGTGAGTCTCCATATGATCTTTGTACAGTTTTTCTTATTTTAGATGATGCAATATGGCCAAAATTACTCTTGCACCAATAACCAACCACTCCATTAACCAACCTTATGTCAAATTTTAAACAGTAATAAAAAAAAATTACTGTAGATTTTGATTATAAAACAATAATAAACTAGAATACTTGTATGATGAAATATCATTACAATTTAATCTAGTTATATAATGCAGTACAAACAAGCAATTGCTGTTATTAAATTTCTTTATTGGGATACAGTGTGAAAAATTTTTTTATAAATTTCCACTGCCATTCATCTGTATGTTTGTCTGCTCTTCCTTAATCTGGAGAACAGAGATAGATAGATAAAAATCCAGATCAGATATGGAAAGCTTAGGGACAGGAGGCCCCAATTAACTATATAAGGTTCTTCTAGTTTATTATATAGTTAATCGGTGCCTCCCGAATTGAATTGAACTTTCCTAATTTCTGAATTGAAATAACAATACTTCTGGTTTGCACCGGAAGTCATGTTATTTCAATACAGAAATTTTCTCCGGAAGGAGTTAGATAGATTGACCGGTACTACTATACTGTTAAAGAAATTGTATCACATACGGGGGTAGGCTGCTACAAATATATATATATATATATTAAATTACATTAATTAAAAATATGATTTAAAATTTCATCCCCGGCATTGTGACGACGTCACAATAAATAATTGCTCGTTCAACATAATCATTTCTGTTTTGTTCCATGTCGTTTGTGACCTTTGGAATATAAAGCTCAATAAAGCATTTACAGCTTTGAAGGCTATTAGTTTCAAAGAGATTTTTTAGGTATAGTTGTTACTCTTGGATTAATTTTCAAGTGTCAACAAAAATTTAAATCCGAATTATCCCAGAACCACTTCGTAGTCTTTGAATTTTCAAAATTATTGTTTTCGTTTATAGGGAAAGCTTTTTACCTAATATTCAGGAGAATATATTGATTGATGTGAAAATTCAATAAAAATAACAAAGTAAAAGCGAACTGCTTTGCTGCAGTTCACCTTTATTTACAAATTACTCTCTAGCACTTCGGAGAACAGAGACCGACCAGAGAAAACTTAGTGCCAGATTATTTTTTTCATTTCATTTTTAATAATTTTATTATGCCTCGAGTTGAAATTTTTCGTATTAATCTATAATTTCATTAAGACGATGGAAAAAAGTAATGAATTTTATTATTTTAAATGCCACTTCATTCGTTAAAAGTACTGTACATTCGGGGCACGAATAAAATTTGGTACATTTCATCAGAATGCAAGCTGGCAGAAAGACTCAAGTTTGCCGAAAAAGAGAATTTCTCTGAATTGCATTACTTTCTCTAATATTATTATTTTCATTTTTATTTACGTTTTAACATTTACATAACAATAGCATTTATACAAAAGTCGACATAGCGAAATGTTATATTTTGGTGATTTGCTTTTTGTCGTTATGTTAAAGTATGAATCTATGAGCACTAAGTTTTTGGCTCTATGGAGGACTTATCACACGCTATTGACGTTGTCCGAGTAATCGCGCGCAAGTGGGTAGACAGAGGTTTATTACGACGACGGATAACATAATAAAGCTGCGTGTGATTATTTCGACAACGTCAATAATGTGATAAATCCTTCATAGAGCCAGAAATTTAGTGCTCGTAGATTCATATTCGTGATATATTTTGTAAAAATGTGTTACCCAAGCATATAATATCTATATCTCATTAAGTCATAGATTTCTTGTCATTTATACTGATTGGTTACAAATTAATACTTTTTATACAAACGGTTAAACTTAAGTCGATACTCGTTCGTTCAAAAAAGAAAAACTTTTAAAATTCTTATTTAAATTAGTAATATTTCTCTATCAAAGTAGGAAGTATGTAGGCATCGGTGTGAATCTATAGAGGGGGGTGATAAAATATCTCGTATATGTTATTTTGTATAGCCACTCAACAGATATATAAAATAAGATGTATTTTTATTTGTAGAAGGTTTTTTATCTTGTTTTAATTTCTCATATTTTAAATTTATTCTATATTAAAATATATACAAAATAAGAGGATTCTTCCCATCGCTCGGCCCATTCGTTCAAAAATTTCGTGACTCCATTTTCGATTTCTGGTGTACCGTACAGTACATATTTTTTGCGACGATTTTGAGACAAGTATTCTATATAGAGTGAGTAACTTATTTACTTCTAGATATAACACGTTACTTTATCGTACATAAATAAAATGTTTTAACTTAACTCAAAATTAATTCAGTTTTTTAATTTGCATTTGTCATTTTCAAAGATATATTGTGTAAATTATATATATATAATATCTATTAATTATAATAGATCTTTTTCTAACAAATTATTTTATTATTGAAATAATTCGTAATAGTAAATACCGTTTTAATTATTCTTTCTTTCATCACTATTTTACATTAGATAAATCTTAGGGTTGTATTTTACCTTGTTTTCATTTTGTGATTAATTAGAATATTATTCTTGTTTCTGTGTGTTTTCCTCTATAAATTTGTCGAAGAATAATCTTTGTGTTTAAATCTTTCCATCGTTAATTTCTTAGCTTGGCCACACCGTGTAATTTCCCGCACATTTTTGATATTAGATTGCATCTTCATTGAAAAATGCGATGGTCTATCGTGTTTTTAAATTATATTAAGAACGTTTCTCTATTGCCTAGTAATACAGACGGATAAGCGAACCAATGGCATAGTCTGTTTCAAACGAAACGGACTCCGTCGTCGGTTTGCTGGCCCAGCCCTGTTTGTAATACAGGAATTTGGTATTCGTATCTATATTTTGTAATGTCTAATCCCCTAAAGGACGGTTTTTAACGAGTCTCGCTCGATAAAATTCGGCTTGTACTATTTATTTCGAGGTACTTACGGCCGCTTTACTTAGTTTCTTTTCAATAAATTCCGATTTCGTTTTAAGAAATGACGAGCCTTAGAACAAATTAAAAAAAGTTTCGGCCTTAAAAGTACAATTATCTTCCACATACCTCGAAATAATAAGCAAATCGTTTTTTGTTTTTCTAATTCTTTTGTTAAAATTAGCGATTGAAATTATGTTTACAGAAATCCAAGATTTATTCTTACCGCATCAAAATTTATAAAATAAATACTTAATTAAAATATCTGGCCGACCTAAACATTATTTAAATTTGAAAAATCTGTAGATTAATTCGTTACAATTTCGTTATAGTCGAATTTAGTTTCAAACCTTAAAAATATTTTATATCCGAAATACAGGTAGGTTAGATTAGTCTAACTTGTAAGTGGAATTTCGTGTTTAATTAGAACTAACGGGACAAATGTCCCGTTTTAAAGTACACTCGTCGTCATTCTCACCAAGTTAGCCAACATATAGGAGATAAACACGTGTCTTTCCTGTTGGATAGAAAAAACTTTTATAGAATCAGAATATATATGTAAATGTAAAAGAAAAATAAGATAACGCAATTCATCTCAAATATTCCCGAATTTATTTATCCCTCCGTACTTAAGAACCGAAGTTGGTGTTTAGTTCGAAATTGGGTGGCATTCGAACCGTGGAACGAAACGCAGTGCGCTTCCAAGTGTTAACTTTTTCGTTTAGTCCTTTAAGTAAGACGCGTAAAATCTCAATGGTGGACATATTTAATTAGTAAAGGAGGATGGGTGGTGGCCGTCGGTTAGGTTTGCCAAGTGCAATTTATCTAAAATCGAACGGGGAAAAGTAAGTCTCTAGTGCCAAAAAAGAAAACAATGACGACGATTAACGGATCATTTAGCATTGGTTTTAAACTGTCTCCTCTATGGGATCCCACGAATTCGCTGTACATAATTATATATATACTGTATATGTCTGCCCGAGTCGGAGATTAAAAAGAATATATATATATAGATATATAAATATACACGACCGATGCTCATTAAAATTATTTTAAGACCGTCAGATTTTAATATTTTTGATATACGGAGTATGGAAGTTCGGAACGAACGTTTTATTCGTGAATAGGTGCTCTGCGTGAATAAAACCGTTAATTTTGGTGCATCGATTATTATCGTACCGGAATAATTTCCGAGTTATTCCTTGGTTTAGGCCTTTTTGCCGATTTTTCTTGTTTTTTAAATCAAACAAAGAATTGTGTGTATAGAATAAAAGAATAATTATATTTTAGCAATTCGACTAAACCGGAAGTGTCATATATTTGCGTCAAGAACGAAATGCTGCCAACAATCATGAAATTCATGTTTAATAAAGTAAAAGTATATTATCAACCCTTTAGTATCGTCGTCCTTTATTTTACCGAGACTCGCCGTAACATCGAGCGTAAGATAAAATGCGGAAATGTAAATTCTCGAAGAATAGAATAATAATTTTAAAAACTGATTTCTGGTGGAATTGGCAGTTTTAACTACGGATGCCCAAAACGATAACGGCAATTTCTATAAGGATCGATTATCCGTACGCCATTGCGTGAAAAGTCTGCTGTGAAAACTCATAAATTCGCTTTTAAGTGGCAGATACAGTACTTTAACGATAATCGTCCCGCGCTCCTTTTCTGGTGGCCGAATGGATAAAACCACCGAACGCTGGTTGTCGGGACGCAGTGGCGAGATATAACTCGGTGGAATCTGAACAAATTTGAGTTAGGGAGCCCGCGTACAATGTTAACTTCCGGGAACTTTTTGAGGGAAATACTTTAATAAGGATTGGTTTGGCGCCCCTTGCCGTGGCATTTGCCCTTTTCACCCACAGGATAACGCGCCACTGCAGTGGTGGGATTGCCTGGAGTTTTCTGGATTTTCC